CGGTCTCCGCGGCCTTGCATCTGGGGGCTGATAGTGTGTCGCCGAAGCGAAGTTTCTTTAAGCAAGCGCTCTCTGCGCTACTGCTACCCTTCCTTCTGCGCTGTTGCTGGCAGCAGCACTGCCTTCAGAGCTGGGCAGCTGGAGAGCAGCGGCTGCTGTCTGGGAGTCCAGCTCTGAAGGCAGAGCCACTGCCAGCAGCAGCACAGAAGTACGGATGGCATGGTATGGTATTACCACCTTTACTTCTGCACAGCTGCCTGCAGAGCAGGGCCCTCAGTCAGCAGCCACCACTCTCCAGTCACCCAGCTCTGAAGGCAGCAGCACAGAAATAAGGATGGCATGGTATTGCCACCCTTACTTCACCACTGCTGCTGTCGGGGCACAGCCTTCAGAGCTGGACACCCAGCCAACAGCTACCACCCTCCAGTCACCCAGCTCTGAAGTCAGCACAGAAGTAAGGGTGGCAATACCGTGACCCTCCTGCAACCCCCTTTTGGGTCAGGACCCCCAGTTTGAGAAACGCTGGTCTCCCCCCATGAAAGCTGTATACTATAGGGTAAAAGCACACAAAATACCAGATTTCACAGGGTAGCGGGAGGACACCAGATTTTACAGTCCATGACGTGTTTTTTATGGCCATGAATTTGGTAGGCCCCTACTTATTACCTTCTGTGTTTCCGGTTACCAGTTTATTTACTCTAACAATGCATCAGATACTGCAGAGAATCTTCTTAATCTAATGCTCTGGTTTGCATGTACCAACACTTAAAACACACTGCTAATGCTTTTGCACCATAACTGACTTCATATTTAAACATACAAAATATTTGAATACAAGGTAAGTACTACATTTTCCATTCTTCAGTGACATCCCTGTTCTCCATGAAACTTCAAAAATAAGTGTGTGTTTTTCCAATTCTAGATTGAATAGTTCCTTAAGTTATGCTGCAGTGAATTTCATCGGGCCTTGATATAAAGGTGTTCAGTTTATCTGTAGTAAGCATCCTTCAAGCTGTACCTTAACATTTCAGACTTGGTCAAACAAAACCATTTTACTTCCAAAAGGGACATGTACATTTAAGTAAAACACTATCCATATATGTGGAATGCCCCAAGCAGCGAGAGGGCATATTGAGCACACTAGCAATTTAAAATTTTACATTTTCTTATCTTGCAAAACCATAAAATGTAGGCCCACCAGTTTCCACAAAGCATGCACTTTACTCGTGACATCACACCCAATAGCATAAAGAGAATTAAATCAGTCACCAGAAGACAGCATGCAAGAGGATCAGGTGATTCAAGGTGGGCCTGCACCACAAAAAAAAGGTAAATTTTAAATGACTGAGGTGCACCACCTTCCAATTGCTTATTTTGCCTGAGAAAATTGTGTTAGACTGATCTCCCTGACAGCCTGGCTGACAGAATCATATCTTGCAGTCTCTTTTCCTGACAACTTCTTCCTCTCAGAAGATGCTAATTTCACTTCAGGCCCAGCTCCGTGTGGTACAAGTCAGTGGAAGGACTTGTCCAAAAAAATATTCCCACTTGTTCTAAAACCAGTTCAACTGTAGTACAGTAGGATCATTGAGTATTTTAAAAAAACAGATTTCCTGAGGGCATACACTGACAAAGTTTGAACTGTCCAGCAAGCAATGTCTTCCTTTCCCAGCGTGGAGTGGTCAATCATTAAAAAATTGTATTAAGGTAACTGGATAGTTCAGAGGACTAGCAGAGGAATAAAATTTCTTTTTCAGCTAGTCGGGGACAAAAGCTGGATCTACACTAAAAGATGAACTGCTGCTGAAAGTGTTTTTTTGTACAGTCAATCATTTTTCATCAACAGGTTCCACAAACCAGTATTGAAAACTGTTCTAATGCTAGCATTGATCATACCAGTGTAGTCTTGACTGTTTTCAATACTGTTTCACATACCACAATTGATCCAACAGTATTAAATTAGATAACACAACACTGTGATCATCACAAAGTCATGGTCAGTATTGTGCCATCTAATTCAAGTGCTTGCAGTCATATTCAGACAATTTTTTAAATGTAGACAAACATGGCGAAGTATATCGGAACGGGAGTATGGGAAACTTATTACAGTTGCCTAGGCTGTACCTGTTTCTTGGTTTAAAAAAAAGGACTTCACTTTCCACATCTGTCAAGGCAGCTCCTTTTCCAAGCACTAGCTATGCACACACAGATAACAGGAACAATGTTAAAGGCTTTAAACCAATCAGACAACAATAATTATTTTTATATACAGTAATCAAGCACTACTGTCCACAATCTCACACCACAAAACAGGAACTTATTTCATTGTGCAACCTTTCACAAAAATTTATGCAGAGTGTGCATGCTGCATAACGGAAACAGTGCATTTTTGACTTTCACATCCAAATAAATAATAAAAAAAATACAGTGCATTTATTTTGACATGAGATGGCTCAATTCACAGAATATTTTTACATCAAACAATTTTTTGGGATGTCATTGATAAATGGACAAGCAACTATCCGATTTGCAAACCTCAGGCCTGAAACTGAATACAGTTTGGTAGATTTGTTCACTTCTTGTCAGCTAATATTTGCCAGTTTGCACCAGTTCAGATTATCCATCTAGCTGCAAACTTTATGGGAAAAGTGGTTCACTCCATTCACCATTCACTTTTACAGTTACAAAGATTTTCTTTGAAATGAAGAAAAATCCTGTCTAAAATACCGAAGCCTTTTAATTTTTACGAATATTGACCTTATGCAACTGTAAAAAACAAGAAAAACAAAAACAGTGTGGGGCATTTCCCATGCCTTCTCCCCCACAAAACTGGACCCCAGTGAGCATCTCTGCAATGCCAATTTTTTTAGCAATAGGACTACAGTGGGCCACTGAGACTACTGTAACAAATAGATGATGTATATAAGCCAACTGTATATCAACAGCGCCTTTTTACTTTGGCAGCTAATGACAACACTTGGCAGCTAGGCAGCACTTCAAAGGACTGTACAAAAAGGTAATTAATCCCAACACCACCTCTGTCTGGTAAGTACCCATCAATCTGATTATATAGATAGGGAGCCTGAGGCAGAGAGACGAAACAACTTGGCCCAAGGTCACTCAGAGATTTGGTGTCAGGGTAGAGGGCCCCTGTGCCTCCAGAAAAGGTCACATATACAATTGCAAATTCTGGGTGCAGCCTGACCTACCTTTCCTCAGTGTGATCTCTGCCCTACAAAGCATCCCCTGCAATTGACAACCTGGAAGAAGCAGCACAGGCAAGAAAGGCAAAGAGCTAGAGCAGTTTAAAATAAGGGGCTGAAGTTGTGAACAGGAGTATGAGTGTGTGTGGGGGGTCAACATGGGAGTGAAAAGAGAAAAAGAGGGACGAGCTTGAGCTCTACAGAGCGTGGGGGAATGGAGTACAAGGTTCCAAATGGCCAGCACAAGGGGCAAGGACTCGAAGCAGAGGGGTGACCAGGTGGGAGGGCTTAAGGGACTGAATGTAAGGAAGCTGGGGGGTCTCAGCCCCTGGGGCAGGAGGGGGAGCAGCCCATGGGGGAGGAGGGGAGGCAGAACCTGGGGGGGGCGAACCTCGGGGGGCCCATGGGGCGGGGGGGGGGCAGGACCCGGGTGGGGGGGGGCAGGACCTGGGTGGGGAGGGGGACGTAGAGCGGGACTGGCTCCTACCTCGCAAGCGGCGCGCCAGCCTTTTGGCCCAGGCGGTGCGATAGGACGGAGGGACCCCGTCCGGGGGCAGGTGTGGGGTCAGCGGGTCCCCCCCGGCGGGGCTGGGACACGGAGCCGCCCCCACGCCGCGTTCCCCCGCCGGCGCCGCCGCCGGCCGCTGTCAGGCTCCCCGGCCGGACCCCGGGCACTGCTGGCGCCGGGGGAGGAGCCGGCCCCGCGGCTGCCCCACTCCACGTCCATCTCCATCTGCAGCACCGGCCCCGCCGCCGCCGCCGCCTCCTCCGGCTCGAAGCCCGGGTTGTCCCGGCTCCAGGCCTGCCGCGAGCAGGAGGAAGGCGGCGGCGAGTAGGGCCCGCCCGCGGGCTCCTGGATCCGCCCCAGCTCCAGCGGCCCCCCACCGCCGCCCGGGGAGGAGAGCGCGGCCCTGGCGCCCCCGGCCCCCGCCATCAGCCCGCTGCAGCCGCCCAGACTCCGCAGCCGCGGGCGGGACCGCGCGGGGAGCTGCTGCCGCCCCGGGACCCCCCCAGAGCTCCGCCCCCGGGCCGGGACCGCCCCCAGCCCCCGCCCCGTCCGGCCCCCAGAGCCTCCCACCCCCCTTCCTTCCCGGCCCAGGGTGAGCGTGGGGGAGAGAAACGTCCCTCCCGCCTCAAACCCAGTCGGCACAGACCCGCGCCCCCACTGCTGGCCATCCACCGCCTCCTCCCTTTCCCCACCCCTGCCCCATTCCTGCCCCCCACGCCCCGCTCCCTCTCCATGCACCCCCTTACACACCGACATCCTCCCTCCACACCCACGTGCCTCATCTACCGTTTTACCCCTCGCATCCTCCTACCCCACCTGCACCCGCAGCTATCCAGCCCCTGTGTGCACACCCCGTGCAATGCACACGCACACAGACACACTCATCCCCCCAAACACACACATACCATAAACCTAAACGCCTCAAAAATCATCCCTGGACAGCGCAGGATCCCAGTCATTTCAGTGACCCTGTACTGTAGATCTGTCAGTCACTAATAAATCAAGATGATGCTTTGCTTTGTTTGTCAGTATTCTGGGAGAGCTCCACCCAAAGCCATTCTTAGCATTTGGGGTGAGCCTACAATACAATTCTTTGCCACAGTTCAAAGGTGCAGGAGGACTCCTGGTGATTATGATCACAAACACAGGGCCAGCCTGAGGGTTTGGGGAAAGGTTAGTGTGCTTATTCATTGGCCTATATCCCAAATTGAACTGTCTCTTTCACTCGCTTCCTCCACCCCACCAAAGCTTTAGTCTGAGTGTGTGCATGTGTGTGCGAGTCCCCTCTTCTCCCACAACTGTCTTTGCACTTTTTTCCATGCTGCCCATTAGGCCTGGATAGGGCCCTACCAAATTCACAACCATGAAAAATGCGTCAAGGACTGTGAAATCTGATCTCCACCGATGAAATCTGGTCTTTTGTGTGCTTTTACAGATTTCATAGGGGAGACCAGCGTTTCTCAAATTAGGGGTCCTGACTCAAAAGGGAGTTGCAGGGAGTCACAAGGTTATTTTAGGGGGGTCACGGTATTGCCACCTTTACTTCTGTGCTAACTTCAGAGTTGGGCAGCCAGAGAGTGGCGGCTGTGGGCCAGGCAATCACCTCTGAAGGCAGCACCATACCATGCCACCCTTCCTTCTGCACTGCTGCTGGCGGTGGCTCTGCTTTCAGAGCTGGGCTCCTGGCCAGCTGCTGCTCTCCACCTACCCAGCTCTGAAGGCAGCGCTGCTGTCAGCAGCAGCACAGAAGTAAGGGTAGCAGTACCACAACTGCCCCTCTAGTAACCTTACGACCCCCCGCCCTCTACAACTCCTTTTTGGGTCAGGACCCCTACAATTACAATACCATGAAATTTCAGATTTAAATAGCTGAAATCATGAAATTTACAATTTTTAAAATCCTGTGACCATGAAATTGACCAAAATGGACCATGAATTTGGTAGGGCCCTATGCATGGAACACCCTTGCTAAACAAATCTCTCTTCGCAACTCATTTCTATGGTGATGCCTACAAGAAATGAGCCAAGTGAGGGAGTAGTTAATATGTAACTGACACCATTGTCACTGTGAGTGGTGTTACACAGTGGCTGCATGCTATGTGCACCACCTGTGTGGAAGCAAGCACTGTAACCACGTTGAGCCTTAAGTTCTATAGGATCTACCTCTCAGTGAGTTCCCATAAACACTATCATACTTTGTGTAACTGAGGACACTTTTGCTTGGGCTGCTAGAGTCAAAAGATGCAAATATCCTAGGCCAAACTGTTAAATGACTCCCCAACCCAGCCCTTAGGGTTACGAAGGCCGTCCAGGCCAGGATTATGAAGGTAGCACAGTGTCATTGTAAACCCTGTGCATTGTCCCAGTATTGCGTTGGCCTCCTGTAGCAAATGCCAAAATCACCTTATTCAGTTATAGTGGGCAACACTAATTGTCTCACACATTGCGGATAGGGAGGGGGAGTTCAAAAATCAAAATACTGACTAAAAACCCAACCTAAGATTTTCTTAGAAAAAAACTCATGATATTTTGGGGTTCTGACCTGTGGGGTTGGCAATACTGCTGTGGTCCTGCCTACAGTTGGCTGCTATTAGCTACCTGCCAGGAACAAGAGCTCAACCTGCCTCTTTGCTGCTTGTTGCCCAGCTGTGTCTCCTGTTCTGGCTCTCAGGAAGCCTGTGGCTCTGTCCCAAGCATAATAATCCCTCTTGATCTGAGAATATTATTTCCTTTTTCCTGCAGACTGGTGATTCAACAGGGCAACACAGTGCTCTTCAGTCTCCACTGCTTTCCCCCCAGCTCAGCAGAGAGCAAGGGGAAAAAAATTCTAGTAATGAGCTAGCAGGTTCATTAATTACAGGTCTTTATAGTAAAAACTAAAATTTTGGTGAGCATAGTTCCTATGCTTTTGCCTTTTATTATAAATTTCCCCCTTCTCCCCCATTCTTCAATTTGTTGTTTTTATTTTAGATTTGTTTCTCTAGACCAGTGGTCTCCAACCTTTTTATGCACAGGATCACTTTTTGAATTTAAGGGCAACCCAGGATCTATCCCACCCCTTCCCCAAGGCCCCACCCTGCTCATTCCACCCTCCCCCCCCCATCACTCACTGTCCCCCATCCTCACTCACTTTCACCAGGCTGGGGCAGGGGATTGGGGTGCGGGCTCTGGGCTGGGGCAGGGGTGCAGGAGGGAGTTTGGGTGCAGGAGGGGGCTCCAGGCTGGGGCAGAGTGTTGGGATGCAGGAGGGGGTGTGGACTCTGGGAGGGCATTTGGGTGCAGGAGGGGGCTCCGGGCTGGGACAGACGGGCTTCTGGGAGCAGCACATGGCCAGGGCAGGCAAGGAGCCTGCCTTAGCCCCGTTGCACTGCTGGACTTTTAGCGGCCGGAGATCGCAATCGACTGGCAGAGACTCCAGGGTCTTCCAGTTGATCATGATCAACCAGTTGGTGACCTCGGCTCTAGACTATGATTTAAAGGTTTTAGAACATGTAGAGAATGTCATTTTCTTGTCACAGAGTAAATATTCCTTATGGACACAAATTCTTTTAGCAGTTGATTAAATGTATTTCATACTGGATTAAATTTACTCACTGTACTTTTTTCAAAACTGAGATTCAACACAGAAGTAATTTTCACTGTATTGTTATTGGCAAGACATGCACATAACAGAAATTAACATTTTTTAGCTTTAGAATCATGCCACTAGAGGTAAAACTTCCAAGCTACTGACTTAGTTAAAAAATTCAAATACTTGTCAGACTTTTAAGTTTAAAATGTGAAATGCAAAACAAAACCCAGGCCCCTTTTGAAATCATTTACAGACTCACAAAAGTGCAAATTTATTGCGGCCTCATGGAGAGTTTTTAGAATCCAAAAATATCTTCTGTCTTTGTTATTCTTCCTGGTTTAGCAGTTGTTACAAAGCAAAAATATGTTGGATTGTTTTTTAATGGCTGCTGAGTACAAAAGGAAAATACTAGTATGTGGATCCATAATGTGAATTTTACAGCATCCTTGTTTAAATAGGGACAGTTTGAGAAAAATCTTTGGGGGAACACATTTGTTTGTTTGCGTTACTAGGTAACATTACACATGACAAACTCCTTTTTGGATTTCTATCGGGAGGTGGAGACTGCCAATCACTGTCTTGGGTGGGATTAACACTGGAGTAACTCACTACTTTGGCAACTGAAATGCCTCAGTTTAGCATGCAAGACCAAAAAAGTAGAAATGGTAGTTTAAATAGAGAAGGGATAGACAGAAGGAAAGAGCTTGTTTCTGCTCCCACTGAAGTAGATGAAAGTTTTTGATAGTGCATTCTTTGGGAGCAGAACTGGGCCCATAGTGGGCAGCACAATATTTAATTTTAACTATATGTTAAATAATATTTTGAGGGTACAGTTAAATTATTTTGCAGTCAATTTGTGTGTGTGTTGTGGGAACGGGGAATAAATCTGAAGTCGTGACATTAGCAGCCAATGTGAGTGTAAATAAATAGTGATGGTAAGATTCCATTCCAATTTGTTGCTAAAGTAATGATAACTCTTTGTGATAATGGCAGAGGTCCCTGTTAATTTTGAATGCATTTGTATACTCCTAAAACTTGTGTGACTAAATATTGTTCATATTTTAGGAAATTAAAGTGGTAACGTTCATCGAAACAGATAGCTCATTTTTTCTGAGCAAGAATTGATGAGATCAGTATGATGTGTAGTCTCCATTAATTACATTGACACTTAATACAGATGTACAGGGTTTTATAGTTTTATTGAAGTTACAAAATACAACAAAATATACACTGGAATTCTAAAACCATTAAAGTACAGTATCATAACAGGTAACATTCGCTCTGTGTGTAAAACTATATTTGTCTTGCCTCTCTATATTTTTCTTCATAACAGAATCACAATCAAATAGCACAGTAAAATATGCAGTAGAAGGGCTTACATTTCTGTAATGGAAAGGAGAGCTAATACTGCATACTTGAGTTTGCCTGGTTAATAAAGCTGCCACTAACCACTGCTACAGCTAGAGATCAAAATCACAATGTGTTTAAATTTGCAAATAATTCTGGAAATGAATCTGTTTCCCCTCCCCCCCCCTTTTTTTTTTCTGTTTTAAAGAATGACTTCATTGTCTTCAATGCTTTTATGGTCTTGAGTGTCTTCAGTGCTCTCAGAAGTTTGATTGCTATCATTGACTTCAGGGATACCATCAACCTGTTGTAGGTCCTCAATTTGGGCCCGCAGCTGTTCTGTGCTTTCATTGCTCATGTGACTGTCTTCTGAGACATCACGTTTGCTGTTGTCGCTGTCTGCCTCCACACTGTCAAGCTGCTGTTGGCTGTCGTTTTCCATGCTCTTATCGCGTGACCTGCTGTTGACTTCATTGCTGTCCTGCATGTTACTTTTGTCATCCAGTTCCAGGCTAATGTCAGATTTCCCTGGAAAGCGGTGTGCAGCAGGTTGGGCTTTGAAGGAATCCACCTG